TTTTGCTGTAACATGCAATAAACCAATCCAGAGGTGCCATCCTCTCCCATTCCTTTAAAACCGGCAACTTCCACCTTACGGGCATCATGCTTTTTTACTGGCGCAGTGTTCAGAATAAGGAATTATAATTCCGAGTTGATTACATATTGTGACTGCCCAGTGAGCCCCAGGCCCGGCTGTGTGCCGCGAGGGGCACAGGAATGGGTTGAGCGAATCAGTACACTGGTGCGACAGCTCTACAAAGAAAGTAATGGCACAAATCACAATGTTAGGAATAATTTTATGTTACAGAAGTGTAAATACCAGTTTTTCGGTTCATTATGAAAACTTAGGCCAAATTTAGTCTAAAGTGAAGATGGGGAAACACAGATGGAAACAGATTCACCAGTAGTAAGAAGAAAGCTTCTCTGAAGAGCTGATTTTATTGTCTACAGATTAACATGAATGCATGGAAATGCTGCGACACCCCTGCATGTCACACAGAATGCTACGATCTTCTGAGCTTGTGTTGTATATGTTACATCCTGAACTTATGCCCAAACATTTGAAGCACATTTTCAGCACACTCTGGTACGAGGCAGAGTAATATGGTGCATTGTGCACCGAATTTCTCCTTGCACCAGTTGTAAGGCCCTTTTATGTCTTTGGTGTCCGAATTTTACAACTCGAAGTTTGAAAAGAACTGGAAACCAGTGGCGTCTTGAAAATAAGTCCTAACAAACACGGTTTCTTGTTTTTACCACTTTCTTTTCCCTCATACTCTCTTTTGCGCAAAAAAGCGTTTTCAGAGAGGCGGCCTTCCTCTCATACCAAACACGTGTCGTTGAGAACAGTGCTTTATATACATTGCTGAATTTCTACATGTGATTGATCATGAAATACATTTCTGTGAACTCGAGAGTAGTGTCGTAGCGTAGTCTACATGTAGACGAGAGGCAACTTACGATCGGATGAAAGACTACTCTCGCTACTTCGTGAGGAGGTGACTTTTTATGAACTTGTGTTTTCTCACACACATTTATAGGATATTTCCTGGCATTTTTTTAGATAGAAGGAACGACGCTCTGCTTACTGTATCAGAAACTAAACAACGATACATACCCACATATAAAACAATAAATAGAAATCACGAAGATATAAAGCAGTAGATATCATATAATAGATACAAAGATTGCAGTCAGATCAACATTCCCCTCCAAATTCATTTAATAGCATATGTGAATCATAATAATATATAGCTCGTTTCCTCTTCATAACTTACATCACTGGAATGCCACATGTTTTTTCCACCGAGTCATCATTACAGGCTATTGGAGATTCGAGTTTAGTACGCACATGAACTGGTGCCAACTGAGTCCTCCAACAATTGGAGACAGCACTTTTAAATGCATAACTGTCTCAGTGTACGAGCTCACACACACCAGGAAACTCAACAAAAACATTAAGTACAAACAGGATCTCCTTCATGCTTTCCTCGAGTCGTACTGGCACTCATAGTATATAACAGCATTCAAATTGATGTGGAACATACTAGTGACTATTTCATCTATTATTGGTAACACCAAAATCTTACTTGACGTAGCTCTCTCATCACTGTGCGCGACTAAGGGTCTCCTACAAGAGTCGTGCAGTATACATTTTATCGATTTCTGAGGTCCGCCTGTAGCTCGTCATTGAGCTAAAGAGCTAAACGTTGGAACCGGGTGCTGCATTTTCAACATGTATGTTTCTTCAATAAAGTCTCTGCTCAAGAACTTAAGTTTCTACTCTGTACACTCGAGTCAATCCATGTTATCCATTAGATAAAAACTATCTTCCACGATGTCGGCTCGTTGTCAGTCATGTGAAAATGACTGGTATGCAAGAAACTTTGCTAAATCTTCACATTTATTAAGCACTCAATCCTCCTCACAGCTCTAATGAAAGTAATTCATCAGTATCGAATTCTCTAATTAATAGTGTCTTCTTTTTGAGTAAAAATTAATTTTTTCAAGCTGTTTTGTTGGCCAAATTAAATTTTCTGTATTCCAATGTTTTCCTCAAATTCCAGATGATAGTATTTTAGTGAAGAGGTTTCCCAGCTGAATACTAGTAAAGAACCATCTTGCTCACAAAGGAAGAATATTGCTACTTCCAAAAAAAGAATAACTAGGTCTTGCTCGTGAAAAGTGCAATTACGCCAACTACTACGTCATATAGCATTTAATCGTGACAGGTTACACACGGGTGGTGGTTTTTATAAGTGAAAACAGCGCATGTTGTGAGGGGTGAGGAACATTGATTTATTTGTTCTATGCTTTAGAATAGGTGAGTTCTCTTTGTGAGAACTGTGAATAAACTAAGTCTAGACATCACCTTATTAAAAAAAAAAGGGTGTGGAAATATCCTGTGGGTATAATATTACCCCTATGGATACCTCACGCAGTACAGCGACGTATACGTAGAAAAGCCGACCTTAAGATATATGTTCATAGATACAGGATAATAGTAGTAGTGTCACAAATTCCCGATAAATTTCCTCTATAATATTTCTTCGTGCTGAATTGAATTCAAAACACTATCTCCACGCGCAGTCAGCTGAAAGAGAGGCCTCACCAGGTAACAGCGTCTCGGTATCCGCTCTGTTCGCTCTCTCTCTCAAATGTGTATACCAAGTCACATTGTAATAATTACACTAAATGTCTTCCCATTAATTTCCTTCTGTATCGCTCAATTGATCATAATGCATAAAAATCCATAACTTGTTCTTGACAGTAATACTAGGACGGCCATTTAGGTGGTAAGTGGTTCGATAGTTGTTGTTTGTCTCGCTTGGTGGTGTCTGTGATCTTCTTTATGCGCTTGCAACTTTTTACACGCGCATATCCAGTTTAGATCTCCACTCTCTCCTCACCACGAAATCCACCAATAGCCAGACATCCATGACTTTTTGCTTTAGGGCCACGGCAGCCAGTCTACCACGCATCGTAGCACAACTCACAATGTGTTTGGACCATGACAACAGCGCCGCCTCACTCCTGCTCTTGCGATACTCTTCTAACTGTCGCATAGCAATGTGCATAAAACAATTTTAAACACTCTTTCAGGCATCAGCAGACCAAACCCATCAAGGACTAAGGTGTCTGCAATGTGGTCCTGGTGGGTTCAGGTTTTGGAAACCCAAGTGATGGTTTGAGAAGATATGTTCACAACTCTGCAGTGCGTAGACTTGAGATATAATGCGTTTTGGTGTAGGGAGCACAAGGTATTTAATCAAAAATGTGCAAACGCTATTCAATCACAGCATCTCTTAGAGTCCAGGTGGTTGTGTGTTTGTCATTAGAGCTTCAATTTAAATCTAAGTCAGTAGAAATAATTTGATCATAGAAATTAACTTTAATCAAACGAGAAAAGAGAAAAGAATGAGGCATGTGTGTGTGTGTGTGTGTTCAAGCAGAGCTAGGGGACTACGACGAGGAGCTGGACTGTCACCATTTAGAGATGAAGCAGTACGTCCCCAACCAGGAATATCTCGACCACAAGATCATCAAGTTCCACAAGAAACACAGGTAAACGCAGGAAGTGCGCGGGGCGGTCCGACTGAACGCGATGCAGGGACGTGCTGCCTCTAGGAAATGTTTGCGGCATGAATATAACGTCATATTAGGGATGTGTAATAGCCTGCATTTGTTCTTCTGTAGAGGTCGGTGTCTCCGGCAGACTCGGACATCCACCTGCTGGAGGTGGCGGAGGAAAGCTGGACATGTACGGGATCAGGCCTCACCCGGCCCACGACGGAGAGGGGATGAGGATCAACCTGCCGTCACGCCTAGGCGAGTACTGGTCTTTCAGGGTGTCGCGTTGACGGGTCTTAACTTCTCCTCACACAATGATACCGGTAGGGCCTGTTCTTAATTTAACAGCGCTCGCTAACACGCCGCTGCTCCGCCAGGAGGAGGCGCCGTTTGTGGCGACATCAGCTTATTGACTCCTGAGATGTTTGACAATCCACAGCTCGCATTGCCGTAGGCTTTTTCTTAGATTTGCAGCAGTAGAGCTGAATTTGTACAGGTCTGAGGGATTTTCTCTGCTGGTATGTTGAATTTTTATCCTCTTGTTTGCACTGAAACACACATTTGTTTTCCCCCCTCTGTGTTTTCCAGGGAAACACTAAAATCAACACCTTTAGCTGGGCGAAAATCCGCAAGCTGAGCTTCAAACGCAAACATTTCCTCATCAAACTACACGACAAAGTCGGGGTGAGGACCTGCTGACCGGGCAGATAACCAGTGTTCAAACCGTGTGTTGTGTGTAATGTTTTAACCGAAGTGTTGTGTGATGTCCATCCAGCCGTCGTGTAAGGACACACTGGAGCTTTCCATGGCCAGTCGCGACGTATGTAAATCGTTCTGGAAGATGTGCGTGGAGTACCACGCCTTCTTCCGCCTGGCCGAGGAACCGAAGGCGGTGCACAAAACGCTGCTGTCCTGTAAAGGCTCCAGCTTCAGATACAGGTGTGTTGCACTTTGTGTTTTGTTCTTGTGAACGCGACTCACGACGTTTTGCTCATTTCTTTCTCATCTCTACGTATATAAAGACGTTTTAGCGTTTAATGTGTATTTTGTGCGGCAGTGGACGGACGCAGAAACAGCTGCTGGAGTGTATGGGATCAGGGGGAAAGAAGCCGTCACATTTTGAGAGGTGAGAGGAAATCCATCAATACAATCAGACGAAAGACAGAAGATAGATTTTATCATCTATGTATGTATATATGTATATTTATATGTGTGTGTGTGTGTGTGTCTTCTTCTAGGACTTATTGTCAGTCGGACTTCGATTCCAGACAGTGTCGATCGTCTCCTGATCTCCTCACCGACGTCTCCAAACAAGTAATAAAAGCTTCCATTCACAGAATTCACACACCGTGCAGATATATATATTTCTTGGATTCAAAACAAGACATTTGATGATGTCATCTTGATACAGTTAATTGATTAATTGAGGAAATTGTCTAATGTTCGTGTCTTACCTCCTCAGCTGTACGAGCACTCGCATCCCTTCCCTCGGTCGAGCCGTGCCTTGGCGGTCCGCAGTGAGGACGAGTTGGACCCACATCACGGAGGCATAGACGACATGGAACTCGGAGGAGGCGGGGCTAAACGAAGCCGATCGTCTGTCGAGGTTGCCCGGGGGTCCCGCCCTTTTACTCAAGTCACTCCCCTCTCTCCTTCTCTCCACCAATCAACCGCCTCTCCGAAGATGAGATCGGCCTCGACATCTGTGATGGAGGACATGAGGGGCGCACGCATCGGGGCGCAGCGCCAGGCCCAAAGGTTAGCCGGGGTTTACGGCAACCGGTCGCGACGTCGACCCAATCCCCAGCCGCACCCGGACGCCGCACAGCAGTTGGTTCTTCTTTACCCAAACAGTCCTGCCTACCAGTACCACCCCATCCTGCCAACGTTCCCATTAGCTGGTTCCTCGCCGCTCAACCGACACCCCTACTTGACGGACTATGTTGCCGTTTCTTCCCTGGAGCGTTTCCCGCACGCAAGGAGGCGGGATTATGTGACAATGGATAGCATAGCGCGGCCATCTTTCTACCCGCTGGGCCACGACTCGCCGTCTCTTTCGCCAATCAGGAGGACCCTCCGCCCCTCTGGCTCAGGAGGGCTGGGATTGGCCAGGGTTTACCAGCCAGGAAGCAACGGAGCGAGGCTCTTGGGCGTCGGACATACCGAGGCGGGGCATTACAGCGACGACTCCAACTTCCTCCCGGGGCTGCCTCGCCGCGTAGCCAGCCAACCAGATGTCAAGTTCCACCTCTCAAGGAGTTCAAACCCCGCCTTCAACCCCGCCTCCGAGTTTCGTCCCCTTGGTTACTACCCCCACCTGACACGCCCCTCCAGACCCACCTACCTCCCGCTAAACTCCTCCCCTCTGCCCGAACGCCCCACCTCGCTCTGCATGTTCGGAGGAACCTCTGGGAGCTACAGCGACTCGGAACCGGAGGTTTTCTACCCATACTACTGCCCGCCACCCCAACTGGGGAAAGTGGCGCGGTCCGCTGGACTGGCCAGGATGAGGTTTTCCTCCGGGAGCCTCCAACTGGATGAGGAGGAGGAGGAAGAGGAGGAGGAGGAGGAAGAGGACGACGGAGCAGCGAAAGAGAAAGCGACAAAGGACTTAAAGGACGAAGGGGAGAACAAAGAGAAGACAAGAGACGAGAGTAAAGCTGCTGCAAAGATCACAGAAGTCACACTGTAGACGGGGATGAAAACGTTTTACAACATGGAAACGGTGCAAAGGTTCATGATGTGATCACATTCAAAACTGGACGACCACAAGGAGTCGACTAAACAAGACGATGGTGATAAATGTGTTGGTTTTGTATGTAAGAGAGGTGCGTCGTTGTTGAGGTTTACTGGCAGATGAAATGTACTGTTTTTGCCTTGTTTTGGTTAAAACCTCAGCCTCTGGAAACTTAACACCCCATAGCCACATTATGGGTTCAAATTTACTAAATTTTGAGTATTAATAACCGGAACAATCATGTCTAAGTAGCACTTCTAGCCAAACAAGGTCAAACAAGCCGAACTAGCCTCAGCTGTAGCAATAGAGGGTGTTGTTGCTGCACCGTTACTTTATTTTTACTGACACCAAGAAGCATGGCGGCATGGGGGTTTTAAAGCTGTTGGTTGGTAGGAATCAGGTGTTAACCAGGACCTGGTTCCAACCATCACCCACGGTCACGAGCTTTGGCTTTAGCGCTCGAGCAGAGCTTCTTCTCCCTCATGGTGAAGTGGTACAGTCTTTGCGGTTCAGACGTCTGATCGGGTTATACCTGAGGGGTAGACCAGAACGTACTGGAGAGATTATATATCTCACCTGGCGAGGGAATGCCTCGGAGAAAGGTTACAGAGGAGAGGAACATCTGGACTACCTCGCTTAGCCAGCCTCTTGCGTAAATGAATGATGGATGGATGGATCGGTTGGTTTCTGTAGCTCTGGCTGTAGGATCAATCTGGTATGATAACATCGCTAAAATAAAATTAAAAATAGGAAGGATGTGGCGAGAAACAAGTGGTCAGATGATCAGAAAGGTTGAAATCAACCAACGGCCAAAGCTACAAAATAATTTACTTGTAATTTACTTTCATTTCCAACTCGCCCTGTAGTGGAAATGTATTAAATCCACTTGACCACTGTTTAAAATACTTTAAAGACTTTAATTAAAAGACATATTGAGTGTCCTCTCAGTGTGACAGTTTCATAGGGTTGGGAAACTTCCTGGGTGATGTAGTTGGGTAATGTATTTGTTATTCTGTATGAATACGAATGGTTCTTGTGAATTCTGTAGAAAATGTGAACTGAAAGACTTTTTTTTTTGTTTATATAAACAGCTGAATTTGTGAATAAAGGATTATACACATATTGTGATCAAATTACAACATTTACAAATTAAATTCATCTGTTCTTTTTAAACTTCTTTTAAAATGATGATACCGTCACCGTCATGACATTGAAGTAAAGAAAGAAGCTGATGAAACAAGTTTCTCAATCAAACTTAAATATTTATTCATAAAACTCTAAGTCCCGCTACAAAAAAAAAAAAAAGTAAAATCTTACATCTTTCATTTTACATTTCCCCCCTCGACAAGTACTAACTGTGTCCCTTATGATATATAAAAAGACAAAAATATACAATGACCAAGTTTATAGTGTCTTTGGTACAAACTTTCGTTAATACCTTTGATTACAGCTCCCTTCATGCTTCTCGAAAAAAGGACCTGTGCTACTTTCCGAAAAAAAATCCTAACACATCAAGAATTATGTTAAAAACACATCAACATCCAGACACAAGTTGACAGCTCTCAACGTTTTCCCAAACTCGATGCATAATGGAAAAAAGACGCAGATTTTTCACAAGCGAGCGGCGGACGTATTTGTGCCTCGTGAGCAGATCTTTCCAGAAAATCTCAATTTAACCAGAATTGTTTTGGAAAAACTCACATCCCACAAAGCAACAAAACTTTTTCCAGTAAAATTACTTCCAAGACTCAAAGCAACAACGAGAATTCGCCATTTTCTACCAATTTTGATGCTAACGGTTGTGCAATGCTACCGGTTGGCAGCCATTTTGAAGATTTTAAATTGTAATTTTATCTTAACTAGTTTAATTACCATGAGGATATAACAGTTAAATTACGTTAGTTACTTTGTGAACAGCTAGCTAGCTAATTTGACAGTTAAATCCTACTAGCTAGCTAGCTAGCTAACCGGTTAGCAAGCTACTAGCTGCCTATCCAGGTAAATGTCTTGTAGCTCCCTTAAAATTGGAAACTTGGAAGTAAAAATGTTTCTGGAATTCAGAAAGTGTGTACCATTTTAAGATAAGTTTTTCTCCTTCAATGTTCAAAATAGTTAACGTACGAAATCGTGAGTAAAACTGAGCAATCTGCTTTTCAAGTTTTCATTACTGTAAAATCAGAGTGAAAATGACTAAATTTAACCTTGAAAACTGAATTTTTTACATCTGAAGAACAGATATGAAGTGAATTGTGGGATCAGGGAACTGTAATCAAAAAGCATCACTGACGACAACAAGACAAATTCAATATGGCATATAAACTGTGTGAAGTGCTACTTAAACAGAGAAATATACAAGGTCAGGGCAAGCCATGACACAAACCATACCACTGCTGATGGACAAGAACCCTCTCCTATATATTATTTGTGGATGGTTTCAACTAAAACATCTCCATTAAAAAAAAAAAAAAAAAAAAAAGTGTTTTCTTTTAGAAAATGACTTAAGGCACATACGGAGTTAAGGAAGATTACTTATGAATTAAGTCTGACAAAATGGTCTGCTTCATTTTAAACAAATTCAAAACACGTGATTACCAAAAAAAAAACAAAAAAAAACCAAACAAACAAAAAAAAAAAAAGCAAAAGAAAGAAATAGCGAGAAGTTCATGACCCTAAAAACGGGAAATGAAAACCAAAAGTCCAACTGACAAACCGGGTCGTACTTTCAAAAATTCAAAAGTGCAGCTGCCTTTTGAATCTGGGGAGAAAAAAGGTTTTCAACCAGCAGCAGTGTACATATATGTATATATATATATATAATATATAGTGTATATATTACATTAGTAGTGTGTGTGTATGTGTGTGCGTGTATGTGCAAGTGTGTGAGTGTGTGTGTGTGTGTGTGTACAGCGAGGAGACATCGCACAGCAAATCTCCTCTGATTCCAATCATCCAGCAGCGTCACCGTACGGAGACACAGTCTCTCTTCATTTTTCCTCCTCCGTCCATCTCTCCGTCCTTCAGTTGGTCGTGAATCTGACGGAGAGAAACCAGGCGGAGGGAGGGAGAGAGAGAGAGAGAGAGAGAGAGAGAGAGAGAGAGAGAGAGAGAGAGAGAGAGAGAGAGAGAGAGAGAGGAAGACATTTGGTAAAACAAATGATCTGAAGGACGAAGACACATCTTGTTCTGATCAATACTAAGGATGAGAGCTTGTTGTTGAGTTTCATTATTTCCCACGCACCCTGAAACCAACCAGTTACCCAGAGCTGAAAATATTAGTTGATTATTGATAGTTTAGTCAATAATAAAAGCGAAAAAAAATTCAATTTTTTTTTAAAGTTTTCCAGTTTCCTACGTCAGTGAACGCAACATCTTTGGATTTTTTGACTGTTGCTCAAACAAAACAAGAAGTTAGATGATGTTAATTTAGGCTTCAGGGATTAAAGACAAACATTTTTCATTATTAACTGACATTTTATACACTGAACAATCAATTCACTATCAAAGATAATAACTGCCAGATGTTATTGATAATGAAATTCTTCTTTGATGGAATAATACGACCTTCACAAAAATAAAACAGTCGTGTGAAGAAGCGAGAAGGAAAACAAGGACACGGAGAGAAAGGGAAACCGATGAACGTACTTCTGGTACCTGGCAATGATGTGCGTGACCATCCTGTCCGTGATTCCTGGACACACCTCCTCAGCCAATCGGATGTTGCGTTCCAGCTCCTCGATGGCCTGGCGCTGCTCAGAGTGCTCCTTGTGCTGCTGCTTCAACTGCGGGAGAAGTCAAGTCCGTTTTTTATTCATATAAGAAAAAGGCCGTGAAAAGAGAAAACGGTTTTTAAAGTCACACTCTGGTATTTCTGATTGTTTTTTTTGTGAATTCCCCAGAAAACAAGACTAAGAGGTTTTTATATTTAATGTCTCGCTATAAAGTTTCTATATAGACGTCACACACAGAGTCTGTGTACTGACCTCGGTGAACACAGGAGAGATGACGGTGGTCAGACTGGCAGATTTACTCAGCTGATCCTGAACCTGCTCGGATGAAGAGGAGGAGAGAAGGATGAAGAGGAGGAGAGAAGGATGAAGAGGGAAAAAAAGATGAGGGTTTTCATTCAGTGCATTTCTATACAGCGAAAATGTAAACAAGGTTATCTTCCATTTTTAAAACTCACGTGTTCCTTCCTTAATTTTGTTCAATACAGACGGAATAAAAACTGTTTCCCACAGTTGTTTAACTTTACATTTCTACAACCTTTCCTGAACTTCAGGACAAATTTACATACTTTACTGTAGTTTAAACAAACACAGCAGCACAGATGTTACAGCTTGATTTCTTGTTCCTCTAACTCCTCAAAACAGCCTGTATTTTCTTTTCTGTTCCAAAAGAGAAATCATCACATGCAGATGTTACTGACCGTCCCGTTGAGAACCTTCCTGCCCTCCGTCTTCTTATTACGGACGATGGTGAAGGACCATTCGGGAGACTCGCTGTTCTCCTTATTGCTGGACTCACTTCACACACACACACACACACACGTTTATATCACTCCCTGAGCACGGGGCGTCGTACAGATTTACAGTTGCTGCAATTTTGACATAAACGCATCTGATCCTCCGTCTGAGAAGATAGATTTACAAAAGTGATGATTGGGATCTGCATTCTGTGGTGTAATCTATATTTATTTTAAGTTATTGATGCTGTAATAGATCATCAGAATATTCATATTTTATTATGCATTTCCAAAGATTATGTGGAATTACAGTTTAACGTGCGTCTGTATTATTTGCTTATACACACACACAGCATATTTTATTAAGTGCTGCAGCAGATTCCTGAGAGACTAAATAAATATCTTTACCATCATCAGTTAAAACAAACAAGCCAAGAGTTGCTGCCTCAACAACAGTAAGAAAATCACCTGTCTGAGTCTTCGGAGCTGCTGTCGCTGTGCCCCTCCTCCTTCCACCTCCTGAACCTGTCAATCAACTCACTGAGGTAGGACGTCTTCTTACAGTGTTTGACGATGAACTTGTGTTTGAGGAGCTCCTTGGCCGTGGGACGCTGCAGGAAGAGAGAGATGGTTCATATGCAGAGGAGAGACAGACAACGGCCACCAGGGGGCAGCAAGACGCAGCCACCGATCACACAGTAAAGTGAGGCTGGGTTAAAAATGGATGACATGGCTCAAAACACCTGATCTTAGAGACTAAAGACAACCTGTAGGAAGTTTCCCATAACTCAACATCAAGTTTACAAAAGGCTCAACAAGATGACAGAGGAAAAAGAATTAAAAAGTTACTTTAAAGAGTCAAAACAAGTCAATAAAGTAGAAAATCAATTATCTTAACAAACAACAACAACAACTGTGTAGAAGTCCAACTACAAAAACACTGGTGGATTCAGATCCTTTAGTTAAGTCACAGTTTTATTATCACAATGTGAAAATACTCTAATGAGTCAAAGTGCATCAAAATATTCAAAATGCACTTGAAATCTCAAAAGTAAAAGAATCAGTTTGACAGTGTAAACAGCGTTTTACTGCTGGAGCTAATCGACGTGGAGCTGCTTTTAAAAATAAAAACTTTAAAAACGTTCTGCTGCACAAAAAGTCTTTTCATGATTCGGACTTTGTGCTCTGGTGAAATAATTTTACATCTTTGTGCATCTAAAGTAAATGAAGTCACATGACGCGTTCAGAGGAGAAACCTCAGCGTCAGAGAGGTTGAGAACCTCGAGTTTAAGCTTTAATGATGGATTGTATTTCATTAAACATTCATCTAAAGTTCAAGCACTTTAAAATGTGCAGAACTTTTTAGTTTATTTTGTTTTATTTTTTACATTTTATCAACGATTTAAATAAGAAGAGCAGCGTTTAAAATGATCCACTTCATACAGAGCTCCTGACCAGCTGTGTGTGTGTGTGTGTGTGTGTGTGTGTGTGTGTGTGTGTGTGTGTGTGTGTGTGTGTGTGTGTGTGTGTGTGTGTGTGTGTGTCTCTTACGAAGGCAGGGTCCTTGTTGAGACAGGCCTCGGTGAACTCTTTGAAGCTCTTGGAGAAATCTCCGGTCAGCGTCGGAGGCGGAGACTTGGGGATGTGGAACAGAACTCGCATCGGATGCATGTCCGAGTTCGGAGGTTCGCCCTTGGCGAGCTCGATGGCCGTGATGCCCAGAGACCAGATGTCGGCCTGCGGAGACACACACTGAGTTTTATTCTCATTATTCTGAATTTTCTGTCTGTGATATTCAAATCCAAACTGACGACAGCTGATGCTCAGGAGAAAGAAAACTGGACTAAACTTTTCCAGACAAAAACCTTCAGCTCAGGGTTTAATTCTCCACAGAGTTGGAGGATTTCAGTCTTTATTCCTTCAGACCAGCAGTATTAAACTATATAATAACACAAGGACTAAAACAATTATTCAATTATCAAAACAGTTGCTGATTAATTTTCTGTTGATCAGCTCATTTGATTAATTGGCTTTCAAATAAACTCTTAAATATTCAGTTCACAATAAAATAAAACTCTCATCTGAGAAGCTGTTAGTGAATGTACATAGACGTTAACATGATTTAGTCACAAGCTGAAGTTTGTTCGGTCTGTATCATGACGTGTTGAGAGTCAAGGTGACATGACTGTTTATACAAGAAGGCAAATACAACCACACACAACACACACACACACACACACACACACACACACACAAACACACAAGTAAACACAAAGCCGGACATACACATATCTAGACCTTACACATGCACACAGGTCGAATGTCACGTCTTCTCAATTTGCTCCAATAACCATGTGTCAGCACAGGTGAGGAGCAGACGACACACACACACACACACACACACACACACACACACACACGCACACACACACACCTTGTACAGTCGTAGCAGAGCTGCTGCTCAGAGTCACGTTACAAGAGGATGCTCGGTCACCGTTTGTTAATTCGACCAGCTCCATTACTGTTACACACTGAACATATGGCAGCTTGTGATCACACTCTCACTCTCTCACACACACACACACACACACACACACACACACACACACACACACACACACACACGTCTTCTCAGATGAACTGTATCTTATAAAAAACTGACACTTTCTTTAAGGACATGAAAACGCATCAAAACTTAATGCAGCTAAAACAAACGAACTTCGACATCCATCTAACGTCTGTCTGATGAATCTGAAGCTCTATCCAGGAAGTGATTAGCTTAGCTTAGCATAAAGACTGGGATCAGGGGGAAACAGTTAGCCTGGCTCCGTCCAAACATCTCACATCCGTCTGTAAAACCAAAACAAGACGTTCATTTGTAAGTTTCAGAAGTGCCAGGCTAGCCGTTCCCCTCCGTTTCCAGTCTTTATGCTAAGCTAAGCTAAGCTAAGCTAGCTGGCTGTCTCCTGGTTCAGTGTCTTCTCAACTGACTCAACAATAAAGTGAATTTCCCACAACCTCAAATTCTAGCGAGTTCATCATTAAAAGTTTTTAGTGCACAAGACATTTTGTGCCTAAAGCTACAAATCTGCTGTGAGATCAGACATCAGGAACAACACACACACACACACACACACACACACACTCCTTTAAATACAATGGCAGTCTTCTTGTTCTGACTGATCAGGTTTCGTCTGTTGTTTACGTAACTGTGAGTCTGAGAACCGTCTGTGGTATTTGAACAAGTCGGACTTTGTCTTCTCTTTATAGAAAACTGAGTTTAAAATAAAACCCCACCTCACTACAACAATATGCAGCCTCCAACGCTGCGTCGCCATGACGATAAAAAGTGAAACTACTACAAAATAAAAGCAGGAGTGGTACCATTTCTTTTAATTACTTTTTTATTTCATTTATTATTTCTATGTTATTTATTATTATTCCATCTCGTTTTACATCGATGTCTTTTCATGTGAAGCACTTGGTGCATGTCATCAATGAAAGGTGCTGGACAAATACAGTTTATAATGATCATGAGATTTATACTTTTACTTTGGCGGGGTGTCAGACGAGGACGTCACTTTAATGTGCGAAACGTCCGTTTTTGATTATTAAAAACTGTCGGTTCATTTAATCAATATTAAAATATGTGAGAGAATTGTGTAAGAATCGTGACTTCATAACAAACTCACACTCACACACACACACACTGTAAATCACACCCAACTCTGAAAACTACACACACCAGCATGAATCAAACCACATCAAGCGCACAAAGTGCACACACACCCTAATGGGTTTACCTTATTTACAAAACATGACGAACCCCAAACACACAGACACACACACACACAGACACACACACACACACACACACACACACACACACAGACACACAGACACACACAGACACACACAGACACACACACACACCGTTTCTCAGACATGTATTGAAACAAACAAAGACGGAGCAGATCCTCATTATGTAATTTCATACAGACGTGTGTTTGCTTAGTTACTGGTTACTGATCACATTGAATCAGCTGTTTACTTTTGTGTGTGTGTGTGTGTGTGTGTGTGTGTGTGTGAATGCAGGTGCAGCTATGAATGTTTGTCTGAATGCCGTGCATTCATCACTGAAATCATTCCCTGCAGCGTATCGATGCAGTCGCTTTGTGTCGACTGAACAAACAGAGAAGAAGAAGAAGTGGGAGTCCCCCCCCCCCCCCCCATGAAACGAAAAACAACGGGGACTCGCGTCATATTACCAGAGTTGATACAGATTAGAAAGACACACCAGCGACAGTGTCTGTGTGTGGTGTGTGTGTGTGTGTGTGTGTGTGTTTCTATCACATGCAAATAAAACCATTAAGTCTGTGGAAATGATGCAAACGACCTCAAAGCAGGAGACGACAACAAACGCCACGTGGGCTGCGGTTGTCAAGGCAACAGGCAAACCCGGTGAAGGCGGAGTAAATCTCCAGTTCACTCTGAGGAATACCAGGTTTGCTCTGCCATAAATTCCACCTTAATGAAGTTTATAAAGTTCATAAAAGTCGACTTTATGGCAGAACAGTTGTGTTAGAGTCAGTTACAGGCGTTCCTAATAAAGTGAAAGTGACGTGTGAGATTTAGCAGGTGCAGACGTGCATACCTGTCTGAGTGATGTCATACAAACATGCGACTGACCTTGGAGTCGTAGGCGGACTGCTGGATGACCTCGGGAGCCATCCAGAACGGCGTTCCCACGAAGGTTTCCCTCTTGATCTGCGTGTCCGTCAGCTGACCGGCCACGCCGAAGTCGGCCAGCTTCACCTGACCGTGCTCCGACAGCAGGACGTTGGCGGCTGCAGACAGTTATCATCATTATTAATACTGACTCTGATTAATCAGTCAAGCTTAATGTAGCTGTAAAAGGAGCCCTGTCCTATCAGAGCTCTCTGTGAAGAACCCTCTGATATCTCTTCTTTGAACACGCCGATCGCCGACGCTTGATCATTTAAGCGACGCAGTTTAAGCAGGAAGTGGGTGCGTGGCGTTTAATCTCATTCGTTACCTTTGATGTCTCTGTGGATCTTCTTCTCCGAGTGCAGGTAGTCGAGCCCCTTCAGGATCTCCTTCAGCATGGTGGCGATCTGAGACTCATCAAACGGACCTGCCCGCAGCTGCACGCACAAGACACACACACACACACACACACACACACACGAATCGATGACACACATAAAACATGCACCGATATGCCGAAGGCTGTAGGTAGGAACTCAAACACACCCTGTTCGGTTTCATTTAAAACAAGTCTGGACACAGAACATGAGGTAATAACAGGATCAGACGTCCTGCAGTTTGTTTTCATATAAACCATTTTTCTACATTTCAATCAGATCCATTTACAACTTCATTATTATTTTCCCCTAACGTCTCGTTTACAGACTCACACACTTCCTCATACAAAAACACCAAAATGTTTCTGAAGGCATCATTATTAAGAAGGTGGCGCCAAAGTGACCATTTGAATTGCAGCTTTATTTGTTTATTTCTTTTTACACTGAGAAAATAATCTGCTAAAAGATTAAAGTACAGGTGGTTAACTGAATTAAAATCTTGTTGAAATCGGTTCTGACACTCACCAAGTCGAGCGCTGATCCTCCACCCAGATACTCCATGATGATCCATAGTTTACTGCCCTGAAAGAAAAACAAGGAATGAATCATAGTTTCCATGAACACTTGAATTAAAGGTTCTTTTCATTACAAAACGTCTATAACTGTCAAAATCATCTTTAAATGTATTTGACCAATGTTTTTTCCATGTATCTCAGACGTGTTGTTTCACAGTCGCTGCCGCTTGTTCTGTTTGTTTATGCTTTTCTCGCCATCGACAGCAGGTGGCGGTAACGTGCAAAACCAGAGTGGAAATGTGCCGACAAAGCCAGAAGAAGAAGAAGAAAAAGAAGAAAACGTTGGATGTAAACAAACCAGTTTCAAATTCTTCCACAAAAAAAAAAAAAAATCTGCTCAACGCAATCTGCACACAATCCATTCAAAACAAACAGAGCGAGCCGGAGACAATCGGCAGTTAGAGATCCTGTTTCTCCAAATGTCATCAGTTTTAATTCATGAATATCACTTTTTTAAAAGACTACACTTCCCATGATCTGCATTGCAGTCCAGTGCCATAAAGAAATCCTTTTTTTTTTAAATCAGATTATTGATTATAGATTGAAAACATGGGAGTCCGTCTTACCTTCAGGTAGGAGCCGTAGTACTTGGTGATGTAGGGACTGTCGCACTGACTGAGAACTGTGATCTCCTGCTGGATGTCCTCGATCTCGTCCTCGGCCTCCTCCAGATCGATGGTCTTTATGGCAACAACGCTCTGGGTTCGATTATCGATTCCTTTAAACACCTGGAGGAGGAGGAGGAGGAGGAGGGAAAGTGAAAAGAAAGACAGAATCAAGACAAGAAAAATCAGACGTGAGATGATGTTTCGCTGACATCAGTAAACACAGTCATAACTAACAATAAACTGGGTTTGATCATAAAATAAAATGTGAGAAATTGACCTCTCACCTCTCCGAAAGATCCTTTTCCAATGCGATCAAGTTTAGTGAACAACTCCTCCGGATCGATCTGAGAACTCTGAGGAGAGGAGACACAAAAAGAACATTTCACTAATAGTAGTTTATATTCACAAGAATAATAAAAATAAACAAAACCGTCTTCGACCGAGTCAGAAATCTTTGTTTGAATATTTATATAAGGGTTCAGCTTACGTCTTTTTATTTATGTTTTCACTTTTAAGGTTGTTTTTATTTTTATATACATTTATTTAATGTTTAATGTATTTAATGTAAAATAAAATATTTGCATAAAAGCAGAGGTGTTGCTGTAGAAGCAGCAGCTCGAGGTTACTGCACATTCCCGTCGACTTTGACTCTTATTTTCTCACACACGGCTTTGCAACACGACATATTGTCACCACAGAGCTTCACAAAGACACACACACACACACACACACACACACACACACACACACACACACACACACACACACACACACACACACACACACACACACACACACTCACACACACACAATCAAAAAAAGCCATAAAACGCAGAAGGAAACAAGCATGGCAGTTAAAGATAACAGGAACTGAACATGCTCAGCTGCCTGACACACACACACACACACACACACACACACACACACACACACACACACACACACACACACACAACTTATCTCTGAGGGTTTACATTCATTTCCTAAACTCTGCTGCGGTCGTAAAAAGGCAGAAACTTTACAGGAACAAACGTCACCGTGAAGTTCATGAATATCACTTTTTCCACTTTGTGCTTTAAAACTTTAAAAACAAACTATGTCACATTTTAACTCCCCCCGAGGTTTTTCACAATAAGAGTTCTGTTTATGCCTCGTCCACAAGGCCACATGATCGTACAGATCAAAGGGCTCGTCCTCTGGGGAGCACGAATGTGCTCGGCAAGCGTTTTATTTCTAATGTGGAAAAGTACATTTGGTTCCTGTCTGCACCACAGGGGTTTATCCTCTGGGGGCCGTGACCGTGCTTCAATAATCAGCATTACAACACTCAGGCCGGGCTGCTAGCAAACATGAACTTGCAGTTTCACGGTGTATGAGGGTGATGTTTATAGTTTTAATGTGAAAGTTTCAACTGTAGCCGATGATTTTATCAGCTGTTGCTAATCAACATCCTCAGTCTCATGTGATGCTTAACACTGGAGAGAATGTGTTTCACCTTCTTCTTATATTTATTGATTAATGTGAACAAACAAAAACAACCAACTGAACCAACCAGAGAGAATAATTCATAAGACATAACTGGAAGAACTAAAGGTATTTAAGAAACATCATCGTCAAGCCAACACGTTACTATAGCAACCACTGTAGGGATGGATGAAGCTTCTCATCATTTTATTACTTAATTGATGAAAATGAATCCTTTTATCAGTAATTATATTTTTTAAATTAGTCCTTTATCATTTCGTACAGCCAAAGTTGACTTGTCTTAAAATGTAAAAGTTTCATCCAACAACTACAAACACACTCATCACTCTCATGCACGGCAACAAAATGCATCAAATCCTGACATTTGAGAAGCTAAATGTTTGATTCTTTTCTTTCAAACCACTATTTAATAATCAAAACAGTTGCCAATAACCTAAATTTCCTATCAATCAACCAACTGTTGCAGCTCTGTATCAGTAAATCAGCTGCTTCACTGTGCGGTCAAGTAGCTCCACTCCCTGTTAGTCTGAACTGTGGAGAGAGTCTCAGTGTTTAAAGTGCTGCCATCACATCATGACCTCAACAGGCATTTGTTATGCAAGTCAGGGCAACACACACACACACACACACGCACACGCACGCACACACACACACACACACACACACAAATTAACACACACACCATTTAACAAACACACCCACAGTCGCGTATGATACTCCTATGATTCTGGCTGAGCTTCCTCTCTGAACTAAAAAAAGGAACAGTCACAACACACACACGCACGCACACACGCACATGCCCGCGTACATGCACAGTGCCCACAGTGTTGCCACACCCTGTCAGCAAATACAGTGGTTAGTGTCTAATGATACTTTTAGCTCGGTGCAGAGACGAAGGGAAGACGGATGAGAAGAAGCAAAGAGCCGTGAATACAGAGAGAGGAACAGAGATATAACAACTCAGGACAATAACACGGGAATCACTGTGTAACACACACACACACACACACACACACACACACACACACACACACACAACACAGAGGCGTAGAAGCTGCTCATGACGACGCCAACATATGAAAACAAACATGACCTGAAGAAAAACAAACCTCCAAAATGTGCTTTTAATTTCTACAAGTTTTATGGACGGATGAGATTCAACGAAGTTTATAGTCCAGCTATTTTTAAACACACACACACACACCATTTAAAGGCCATAAAGCATCAAAAGGAGCCTCACAGATCACTTCCTGGGTTGAAACAGATTTTAAATTCTACTCAAAATAGAAAATAACCACAACGTATAACTTCCTCTCCTGTCTGCGTCTGCTCTGTGCGCTATCAAAATAAAATAAGACTCTATATAAAACAACAGCAAACGGTTGTTTGAAGTGTTTCAATATGTGGATTGTGAACTGGATTGTCGCATTTATTTTTTGGTGAACAGCGGTAAAACTACAGCCCATAAATATCTATAATGAGCAATAAAACAACTTTGTCTCCCGTCGTAAACGCAGGTTTAACTTACAGTTCCTGCTTCAGTGGCTCATTTTCCTGAAGCAGCTGCTGTGACTTCACATGAATGAGCTTCTGCACTGTAGTTAATTGTAGTTTATAAGGAAATGACAGTGTCGATCCCGCTTCAGTTCAGACTGAAATATCAAGAGATGAATACTCCTGACTGCGCTGGTCATCTGACTTTTCCTCTTAACGCCAACTGCAGGTCAAAGTTTTGGCTTTTTCCTGTGGAATAATCGCGTCCCCCTGAGGAACACGTGTCTCTCCCTTTATCTCCCGATAGCATTTTTCTTTTACGACTGTTAATTACAGGACAACATATTCCAAATCTTTATCATTCCTGTAACCAGGTGAAGTTTAGTGACGTTGTGCAATTGCCAGCGCAGTTCGCCCATCTTCAACCTGAGCAGAGGTCTAACTCAGACACCGTCATTTAAAAGACCTGTGCAGGTGTACGTGGACCACCATGCCCTATTATTAATCAATCAATCAATCATTTAAGTTATTTACTAAGTAAAAATAGTAAATATTCTCTGGTTTCAGCTTCTCAAAATCTGTTTAAGGTCTTCAACTAATGATTATTGACACTGTTGATAAATGTTCTGCTTCTTATTCAATTAAAAAAATTAACCACTTTAATCACAAAACAAGGAGACGCCATTTAATGTGTCGTTTTGTCCAAAACCCAAATCTTCAGTTTCCTGTGAGAAAAGGAAAATCTGCAAAATCCTCACATTCTAATTTTTCTAAGCGATTAATAAATTTTCCAACTCGTTGTTAATCAAATTTCACTCGCAGCGGTTGAAGTTTGTTTCCGTGACGTGTCACAAAATTACGATTCACATTGTGACATAACGTCAATTCTTTCTTTTGTGCGTTTGATCGGGATTAAATAACCACACGCCTCATGATTCACCTCGAGCCAATAAGGAAGCGCCGGCGCCGAGATAAATAATGGTGATGTAATGTCATAGTAACCAACCGTGGGGTTTCCCCCGGAGGTCAGGGGCGAGAGACTATGGACTCTCTCTCCCTCTCTCCCTCTCTTATCACGCCAGTATTTGCTTCCAATAGAAAACACTGAAACAAGTTTTCCTTTAACCTTCAAACTCTGTCTGGTTTCACCTCGATGGGCAACCAGCTTTTAATGATCTGTTGTTTTTTCTTCTATCGTAAGAACAGGGTTGTTTGAGTTTGAGTTTCGGTAGAAAAAATTTAAAATAAAATAAATAAACTAAACACAAACGGTCATTTTAGGACCAAATTTCGAGTCAAGTCATGAACCATTTGATTTTAAGCAAGTTGAATTTACAATACTGAATGCAACACATTTCATTGAGGTTATTTTCAGTCACAAATTCACATGTGTGATTACCGCCATAACTTCTGAGAAGCTCTTTCATAATTATGCAACACTGGTTACAACACTGACATTACAGCAGATCTTTATATACTATATTATAACCATATTATTTGGCTAAAACTGGTGAAAGTTTACAGGATAATACATAAAAGACAAACGAATAAACTGCACAGACTGCACTTATTGGAGGGATTATATAAACGTGAGAGGCGACACTTTGACCGTTCTGTCTCAGCGTGGTGAAAGAACAACATCTGGACAAGAGGAGGAAGTTAAATATTCAACAGACATTACAGACTGTATGACAGATACAGGAATAACAAGTAAAACTACCAACTACCATCATTCAGTTAATGTTTCTTCACTTCAGGACAAAAACTAATCTTTGAGTAACAGTTAGTTAAACGTGACGTCTGGGAGTTTTAATTGTAGCTTATCATTTACAGATATTAAAGGAGAATTAGACGACTGCAAACAAACCCACTTCCCAGATTTAAAAAACTGTGTTTCTTGCCAATGTTTAACCAAGGACACAATGTCAAGAGTGTGAGTTTAGATTATGTTGCTCCCACCTTTAAAATCATGCTGCCTTCAGGGAAGTGCACTGGGAAGTTACTAAACAACTGCCAATCAAGTGTGAAGCAGAGAAAGATTATTGAGGTGTGTCTTCACTGCGCATCCATTGACCTGAACCAAGTGTCAGATAGCTAACCAGCTAGCAGCATCAAAACAAAGTCGCCAAAGTGCAACCTCAATGCAACTACAGTGAGTGCACCTGTAATTTCAAAATAAGGCTACCTGCATGAACAAGGTAATAAAAAGGACATGGACACGGCCTGAACAATAAGAGATTCAACAGGCTGCTGAACATGAGCAGAAACAGAGCTGCAGCGGTGGTTAGGAGCTACAGGAAGAGACGTACAACCAACAACAGAAGGTGCAGCACTCGTCTTCCATAAATGACGTCATGTGGTTCGTTATTTACGC